CTCAAAATTCACTTTTTTAGCTGGTTCCTCCTCTCATTTGCAGGTGGGGCTTGTTCCTACCACCACCTCTGTCCTTTCTGTGCTCTGCAGCAGGATTGTGTTACTGGTTAAGCAGCAGCTTTAAACTGGTCTATCCAATCTCCTTGAGAAAGCACCCTCTGAGCCCTCTTTGTCCCATGCTCACATTGCCCTAGGGCTAAGGCTTTGTGCTCTGAGTGCTGCATCCCTGCCCCTTGCCCCCCTGTACCCCTGCCCCCCTGCATCCCTGTAACCCCGCATCCCTGCCCCCCTGCATCTCTGCACCTCTGTATCCCTGCCCCCTGCATCCTAGCCAGCCCCTGGCACATGAATCAGTTCCACTGCCGTGTCTGGCGTGTTCAGAGAGCTCTGTCCCAGCTCCACCTTTTGGGGGAAGATCTCGTGTTCCCAGCCCTCAGGCACTGGGACCAACGGTGGCTTTGGGTTGTTGCAGGGAACGAGCAGCTGCCAACAAGCTGGTGCGGCGCACGGAGAAGAAGCTGAAGGAGGTTTTCATGCAGGTGGAGGACGAGCGGCGCCACGCGGACCAGTACAAGGAGCAGGTGGGTGGGGGCTCAGTAAAACCTCCTTGGGGTGGGGAGGGCTGGTGAAGAGGAACTGTAGAAAGGGAATCTGCAGTGGTGGTGAAACCAGCAGAGAAAGGGCAGCTGGGATTGTCCCTGTGTGTGTGGGCTCTGCGGGATGGGCTGTTCCCATGCTCTGTGGTGTTCGGGGCTCCAGGCTGGAGCCTGCACGGGGCTGTGCTGGCCCCAGTCGGGGGGTGCAGCTGCTGGGGTGACCCCGAGTGCTGGGCTGGTTGCAGATGGAGAAGGCCAATGCCAGGATGAAGCAGCTGAAGCGGCAGCTGGAGGAGGCAGAGGAGGAGGCCACGCGCGCCAACGCGTCCCGGCGCAAACTGCAGCGCGAGCTGGACGATGCCACGGAGGCCAACGAGGGGCTGAGCCGGGAGGTCAGCACCCTCAAAAACAGGCTAAGGTCAGTGCCACTGCAGCCCTGGGACTGACCCTCCCTGGGCATCATCCCTGGGGAACATCCAGCTGGGAACTGCTGGGATTAGGGAATGGGTCAGACTAGAGCCTGGTGATGACAACAAGGAAGCTGCCACATATTCCACAGGGATATTCCTGACAGCTCTTGGGCTCAAACTCCTGAGTTTACACTGGCAGGCTCCCTGGGCAGCCAGTTCAACCCAGCCATAGGTAAATGTGACAGAGAAGGTGGCTCAGTTGTGCTTTTCCGGTAGCTGGTGTTGATCCTGATTTTCCTCACTTTTGGGAATGTTGCAGCAGTTTCCTTGAGAGCAGGTCTGTGGGATCCAGGTGTGTGCCAGGGCCAGGGGGGACTCAGCAGGGGTGAGGCTCCTGCAGCCCATGAGCCACATTAAGGGGCACAGAGGGGTTCAGCCTGGCTGGAGCTGAGATGAGCAGTCTTGACATTTTGTACAGAACCTGCTCTTGTCTGTGCTTGCTGCTCCTGCACAGACAACTTTTAAACTTATTTGTAACCTAAGGTGATGGTATAAACTAAGCAGGAATTCCAGAGTTCCAGAGATGTTGGCTGAGCTCTCCCATTCCCTACTTGAGCAGGGAGGGCTGCCAGGGGGATGTCATTGTGACCTTTCAGTACCTGAAGGGACTTTGGACACGGGAATGGTTCCCACTGCCAGAGGGCAGGGTTGGATGGGATATTGGGCAGGAATTGTTCCCTGTGAGGGTGGGCAGGCTCTGGCACAGGGTGCCCAGAGCAGCTGTGGCTGCCCCTGGATCCCTGGCAGTGCCCAAGGCCAGGTTGGACATTGGGGCTTGGAGCAGCCTGGGACAGTGGGAGGTGTCCCTGCCCATGGCAGGGGTGGGATGGGCTGAGCTTTAAGATCGCCCCAGCCCAGCCCCTGCCGTGCTCCTGGGCTATTCCGGGACCCTCACCCAGCGCTGCTCCGCGGTTCGCAGGAGGGGAGGACCCATCACCTTCTCCTCGAGCCGCTCGGGCCGGCGGCAGCTGCACATCGAGGGCGCCTCGCTGGAGCTGTCGGACGACGACGCCGAGAGCAAAGGCAGCGATGTGAACGAGGCTCCGCCCGCCCCCGCCGAGTAGCGCCCGGCCCCGCCTGCATGCACGGACCTTGCAGCCCCGGGCAGAGCCCGCAGCCTGCCCTGCCCTGCCCTCGGAACTGCCTTGTGGCCGGAAAGCTGCCTTACGACCCTCGGCATGTGCTACAAGGTTCCTTATCATAGGTCAACCATGTCTTAAGGCTCTCCAGCCTCACCACACTGTACCCTGCTTCAGATATAGGTACAACTGCTTTTTTATATATAGTAAACAACCGGGATCGTCTCTGTTCAGTGCATCTCTTTTCCAGATACTCATTGTAAAGCCATTTTATAAAGCATCATGTGAAGGATGAAACTTTTTTTTATCAATCCAGAAGCGTCATTCCCAGCGGGTAGGTGGCCAGGACAGAGGCCTGGCCCTGGCTGTGCATGCCTTGTGTCCAGCAGCATCCTTCAGGCCCGGGCTGGGCGCAGCCGCTCCATCAGTGAAGACCAAACCGCACCTGTTTCTTTCTTTTCTCCCAATTGTTGTGATCCGCACACAACCCCTGAGTGAACTGTGAAAAACGGCCTTGGGAAGTGTTAGAGGGAAGTGTAGGGATGAGTGAGTAGTGTCCATTTTTATCCTGCAATCCCATTTGAAGTGTTCTCAGCACCTGCTCCATCCGTTCGTGTCCATGCAGTCCAGGCACACCGAGGTGGGTCCCCGTCCCTGCACAGCCCTGAGTGCTCAGAGCCCCCGGGGCCCTGCAGACACCCGGGCTGGGATAATGTGAACACCAGTGGGAAATAAACACACAGCACAGGCAAAACTAATTTATTAATGTGAGGCCGAGCCAGGCCATGGGAGGCTCTGGGACCCCCGGGGTCCCGTGGGGCTGGGGCTCCTGCCCTGCATGGATGGATGTTGCCTGCCTACAGTTAACATGCCAGTGGATGTGAATCCTTTTTTTTTTTTTTTTTCTGTTGTTGTTTTGTTGTTGTTTTTTTTTATTTTGAGCAGTATTACAGTGAGTAGTTAGCGTTCTTTTTGTTTAAATAGCTGAAAACTGACATTACAGAAAGTGCCTTAGACACTACAGTACTAAGACAACGTTACATATATAATTTGCCTATATAACAATGATTTAATGTATTAATTTTGACTGTGCTTCATATCATGTACCTCTCTAGTCCAAGTGGTATTATTGATATTAGTGACAATGAATCAGTGTTAACTAGGAAACTTCCTCTGCCACATGCTCAAAACCCATGGATTTCCCTTTTTGGTTAAAAGCTTTAACATCTGTTGCAAAGGTTTTGTTGTGTGTGTTTGGATATTTTTAATCAAACTGGCTGTTGACCACCAGGCGTCTGACTGCAAATATCTTGTTTTCTTGTATACCCATATTTCTAGACAATGATTTTTGTAAGACAATAAATTTATTCATTATAGATGCGGCCGCCTGCTCTGTTTACTTACTGGAAGAGCTCTCCCGAGGCTGGCATAGACCTTAATAAACGAGATATGACTGGAAGCTGCCTTTTCCCTTCTTCCTGTTTTGTTTGCTTGCTTTTTTTTTTTTTTTTTTTTTCCCTTTTCCTTTTATTTTGACCTAAATACAGCATCAATGGCTTGGTCCGAGCTGAGCCTTTGCCTTTGAATGCCACTGGCAGGGCCCAGCTGGAGCACAAAGAAACTCTGAGCTCTCCTGCTGCCACTCAGTGCTGTGGCACAGCCCCACTCCTGCCTTCGGCACGGTCTGGGCTCCTCCCTGAGCAGTTACATCCCCTATTTCGGGGTCTTGGGGTGCAGAACCTGCCCTGGAATGGGGGCAGGAAAGGCCTGGGAGCTGTGGGAGCTGAAGTGCAGGGTGGGTCTGGGACCAGGGTGGGCCCCCAGACAGGGGGAAGGGGAGGGTGTGAATGAGTGAAAAACCTGAGGCAATGAGGACACAGAGCAGGCACAGGGGCTGGCTGGGGGCTGCTCCTACCCTTTCCATGGGGCCTGGCTTGGGGCTGGAGTCTCCAGCACCGGGGGGCTGCTCCTGGATCAACCTGGGTCAGTCCTGGCTCCTTTTCCTCCTTCACTGCTATGGAAAAGATGAGGAAGGGCTTTTCCCTGCCTCTGGCACAGCTGGAATGGGGGCAGGCCCTGTCCCTGTCTCTGTCAGACAGCCTGGGCTCGGCGTGAGGCTGAGCTGGGGCTGGGAGGGTGACCCCGCTGGGCTGGGGGGTGAGGGGGGCTCTGGCAGGAGCTGGCAGCGAGTGCAGCCCCAGAGGAACGGGGTGGGCACAGCCCAGGGTGTCCGTGTGGGACCAGGGCCAGAGCTGGACATGGACACAGCCCCGGGACTGGACATGGACACAAACCCAGGGCTGGACACGGACACAGCCCCGGGACTGGACATGGACACAACCCCAGGGCTGGACACGGACAAAGACTCGGGACTGGACATGGACACAAACCCAGGGCTGGACACGGACACAGCCCCAGGGCTGGGCAGCGGCTCCAGCGCCGCGTTCCGGGACGGAGCCGATCCTGGCCAGAGAGCGGCAGCAGCGGCACAGGCACAGCCCCGGGCAGGGAAGGGAAGGGAAGGGAAGGGAAGGGAAGGGAAGGGAAGGGAAGGGAAGGAGCAACCCGGGAAGGGCCCCAGCCCGGCTCCTGTGCACCTTCCAGCTGCTCCAAGAAGGCAAAAATCCCCTGGAAAGCAGCTGGGGGTTTCCAACAGTTCCCCAGCGGAAATATCGTGTCACCCCCTCAGTGCCAGCAGCAGAACCTGGGATGGCCCCAGCAGCGTCCCTTCCCCTGTGCCCAAACTGAGCACCATTCCCAAGGGCAGGGGTGTGGGATAATGTGCCACTGCCTGAACAGTGGCCTCTCCCTGGGGCTTGGCAGAAAACCCTACAGGACAAAGTAAGAGCCATGGCCACTGGTTCTGCAAAATCCACTGATTCCACATTAAAAGAACTTTATTTTTGGAAGATTACTCTCATTTGTTTTCATTCTTTTGAAACCACATCGTGTCAGTGGCACCAGGGTGGAACGGTACATCCTATGGAAACATGCCAGAGAGAGGCTGAATAAATAAAGCTACAAAGCCCAAGTTATGTACAAAGACCTCAGGCAAAGGTATTATGTTTACAAATCTATGTACAATAAAACAAATGTAAACAGTCAAATGCAGCAGAGGATGCACAGGAAGGAAGGACCATACAAACCCTAATGGCAAAGGGACAATCCCACCTCCACTGCTGGGCCAGTGGGGTTTTTTTCTCAGCATTTTTAACTCAACCATCTGGGAGCTGCAGAGCCCCTGAACGCTGATTGCTGAACCCTCAGCTCCAACCCTGGCTCCGTTTGCTGGTTCAGTCTAAAAATCCACTGACTCTGAGGCACATGGACAGAGAAACCACACAAATGTGTTGCTTGAAAGACCCACGAGGTTCAGTTGCCCCAAACTGTCACAGAAGGTGAGGCTGCACAATCCAGTCCTACAGCACAGGGGGTGATGGGCAGAGGGTTCTTGGGGCCAGGGGGAGCAGCAGCTTCCTAAAGCTCCCATGGGGTCGCTGTGTGGGGTGAGGGATGGAGGCCAAGTCCAGCAGGGCCAGGGAGCTGTGGGGCAGCCCTGGGGGCACCTGAGGGCACAGCCCTGGCCACAGCACTGCCCATCCCTGCACCAGGGCAGGCTGGGATGGTCACTCCAGGGCACTGCCACCAGGGAGCCTGGTCACTGTGTGTGTCCAGCTGTCCAGAGGGGATGGAGCCACTCACCCAGCCCTGCTCTGAGTGCCCTGGCTGCAGCTGCCCCTGAGACAGACTCTGGGGCCAGCTCTCAAGTGCTAATGGCCTCCCCCAGGGCACTTCCACGAGGTCTGAGAGCAGCAGCTGCAGGGCCTGGGAGGGGACAGAGACAGCGGAGCCTGTGAGAGGAGTGGCCAAAGCTCTGTCAGACTAAGTGAGAGGAGAGGGAAAACCCAGGGGGAAGGCCAGGCCTGTCCCCCAGGCAGAGCAGGACTCGGTGTCCCCAAGCACAGCAGAGGGTGGCAGCTCGTGGGGCTGGGGCAGAGAACGTCCACTACAGCGACAGCAGAAAACAAACTGTATTGACAGGACATGGAGGGCCGTGGGCCCGGGGCCTCCTCTCAGGGCCATGTTCCAGCAGGGTGGGAATGGGGAGGAATCAGGAGCAGTTCTTCTCGAGGTGGGCTGAGAAAAGCATCCGAGTCCAGACCCCGCGGGCTCATACGCTCAGCGGGAGCATTCCCGGCGCCGAGGACGGTCGGGAGCCCCCCAGGCCGGGGGGCCCTTGCTCAAAGCCGTTCACTGCCCTGGCAACAAGAGACAGCCTGTTAGGAGAGGAGCGGGCAGGGCAGGGCAGGGCACTGCTGCCCCTCCCAGCACTGGAACCCCGACCCTCTCCTCTGTCCCCGCACTGTCCCTGCGAGCCCGGCCAGGCCAGCACAGGCACAGCCCCAGCTCCAGCCGCCTGCTCAGTGCCCACCCCAGAGCCAGAGCTGGCATATCCTGGCCAAGGTGACTGTCCCAGCAGGATGAGTGGCCCCACAGTGACCCCAATGGGTCTGTGCATCCCTCAGGGCTGTCCCTTCCCCGGCACTCGGTGCCCTGTGCTCGTGTCCCTCAGGGCTGGAGCACAGGCTGTGCCAGGAGGGGACACACACAGTGTCACACACACTCTGAGAGCCTGGCAGTGGCACAGCTCAGCAGAGCTGTCTCTGTGCCCCACCAATCCCCAGCGGGCTGCAGGAGAGGCTCGGGGTGCCTCCACACCCCAGGATCCACAGGCTCCCCTTCCCCAGTGCCCAGCTGGAGCTGTGGAGCTCCTGCCTTCCCAGAGGGCTGGGAGAGGAGCCTGTGGGTCCAGCAGCTTTTCCATCTGTGCTCTGACACATCTCCTGTAAGGAGCTCCAGGCCCCATCCCGGCCCCAGGAGCGATGGCATCCCTGGATCAGCACTTCCCCCATACCAGCCCTGCCCATGGGGGCTCTGCAATTCCCCCCAGCCCTGGAGGCTCTGCAGGTCCTGCCCCCATGTCCAGCTCTGCAGCACGGCCCCAGCTCTGCCTTTCTTCACCCAAGGTGAAGCAGCAGCCTGGACTTGCTGGGACACAGCAAAAGGCACCAAACTGGGGGATACTGGGAGCTGGCACTAAAGCTGAGCTTAGGGAGGGCTTGCCCAGCCTTTCTGGTGGTAGCATGAAAAGGCACCAAAAAAAGGGAAAGAAATCAGCATTACTGCAGTGGGAGACAGAATTAAAGGAAAATAAAATACCTTAAACACAGCAACTGTAAAAATTAACCAATAAAAGGTCCTGCCTAAGCTTGCAGGAGTGAGCTGGGAAAAGCTCTTGTGCTCCAGCTCCAAAGGCTCGGGCAGCTCTAGGAGGTGTCTGGAGCCTCTTGCCCACAGTGATTAATTGCAGCCATGTCCCCCTCCTGCTCCTGCCTCCTTTCCCTGGCCCTCAGACCACCCCAGCACACTCTGGGGCACCTGTGCCATATCCTTGTGCTGGGATTCCCAAGAAACCAGGCTCCAGCCAGAGCCAGGAGCAGCATTCCCTGTTGGAAATGTCCCTGTAGTGGTTCCTGAGGGATGTTTCTGCCTGCCTGTCCCTGCAGTGCCATGGGCTTTGTGCCCATGTCCATATCTCTGCCCTGATTACTAATTTGGACTCATTAAACTGCATTTCAAGCTGTATTTTGTACTCAGCACCTCATGCCCAAAACTCCCTCAGCTCTAAGTACCCAACAAATCCTCAGTGGAAGATTCTTCTGGAGCTGAACAGCATGGCCTGGAGGGAAAATGGAGCTGGTAAAGCACGCATGGAGACCTGGAACTGCACAGCTCTGGAACTGCCCCAGTTGCTTCCAGCTACCATAGCTGTGCTGGGCAGGGACAGTGACACTGAGCAGGGACACTGCTGTCCCTACCCACACTGTCCCCTCCCTGCTCTACCCCTGGCCATCTCCCAGGCATCTGGGCCCTTGTTTGCTTTCCTGTCAGCCACAACCACACCACTGCACATCAGCAAGTCAAGAGTCACAAAATGCTGAAGGAAAACACAAAGGGCTAACCTTCCAGATGAACTCCATCCATGAAGGCACGCTTCCCCTGCATCCCTGCTGTGACCAGTTCAATCAGAAACATGCACTTATTTGAAGTATTAAACAGATGAAGAAAGTAAGCAGCACTCAGGCTTATGTTTGCAACAGGTCACAGCAGCAGAGAGGTTTATTCCAAGTCAGGAGAAAGAGCAATTGCAGCCTCAGGCTTTGATCAGGGCCCATTAGTGTGTGGCACTACCAACTACCTCGTGCAGTTACCAGAGCCCCAGACCTGCCCCAAGCCCCAGGTTACACCACATGCAGCCAACCAGTGCAAATGAATTCATTTACCCATGACCAAGGTGGGGAATATGACCTTCTCACGCCTAGTGGAGAGAAAGGGAAAGTTTATGCACACAGAAATGACATTCCTGAGCACAACCCTTGAGGCAACAGCTGGGGCCAAGCAAAGTGTTCAGCCAAACCTCAGCAAACCTGTGCTGTGTGAGCTCTGCACTGTGAGACTGCTCTGCATGGGCAACCCAGCACAGGCACAGGAGCACTGCACCTGAGCCACCCACAGCTCCCTCTCTGCCAGGGAAACCTTTCATAAGGTGGGTCAGGCACTGAAAAAACACCCAGATTTCCCTGGTGTGTTCTGGTCAGGGCTGTGGGTAACAGTGCAGAGACACCTCTGACTGCTGTGTGTGAGCACAGGAATTTCTCACCTTAACAGTTCATTTCATTAAAACAAAGCTCAAGGGATACACAAAAAGAGCCAAGAATAAACATCAGCTATGAGGACATTGACATTCAGGACTGCAGGAAGGGGAACAGCACCTCAGCTTAGCTGTCCCAGTGCCAGGGCCCTGCAGAGCCCACAGCAGTTTTATTTCCTGGACAAAACTAGACTGACATTAACAACCAATTAACAATAATTACAACAGCAAAAAACAAGTAACCATCCTGAGGACCACCCTCAGGTGCTGTTCTGCCATTCCCTAGAATCTGGACAGAACCTGCATGTTCCTGAAGGGACAAATCTGCAGGAAACTGATCTTACACCAGACACTGCTGGGTTTTTAACAAGCAGGTAAACCCTGACTCCCCCAGTTCTGCAGCCAAGCTTTGGTACAAGCCCTGCTGTGCTCCAGGCCTCCCCTAAAGCCGTGCTGCCCTGTCCCCCTCTGAGGGCAGGGACTTCACAAGAGCTGGAGACACCTCAGATATTTCAACCAGCAGAAGGGCAGAAGGAGGAAAGCAAACAGAGCTGTAAAGGAGTGGCTGAGTTATGTCTGAGTCAACCCCACCACTCAGCCATGAACTGCTCCTGAGGCAGTGGCTGCAGAATGGAGCAGGGCTGCACTCACAGCTGGATCACAGACACACCTGGAGCAGAGCTACACTCACACCTGGAGCAGAGTTACACCTGGATCAGGGTTACACTCACACCTGGATCCGAGTCACATCTGGATCAGGGTTACACTCTCAGCTGGATCAGGGTTACACCTGGATCAGGGTTACACTCTCAGCTGGATCAGAGTCACACCTGGATCAGGATTACACTCACACCTGGATCAGGGTTACACTCACACCTGGATCAGGCTCCAGCCTCAGGGCAGAGAGGGGAGTGCAGGGACTGGAGGAGGAGGAGGGAAGGGAAGAGAAGGACAGGCCTGGCTCAGCCCCTTGTGCCCAGCCCTTCTGGGCCAGCGTGGCCAGGGCTCAGCCACTGCTCCAGCACAGCCACCACGGGGTGTCCTGGGCTGGGGCCAGCTGCCAGCCCAGCTGCCAGGGCTGAGCCAGGCTTTGCACAGCAGCACAGGCACTGCCAGCATGTCCTGGGCACAGAGCAGGGCAGCACGAGGGGCTGAAGGCACAGCCTGGGGGCAGCACACGGGGCACAGGGGACAAGGACAGGACAGGGGGCCCGTGCAGCATCTCTGGCAACTTGCACATGAACCACTTCCAGCCCTTTTCCTGTCCACTAACAGCCCCAGCTCTGCTGTAGCATTTCCTTCCAGGCTTTCTAAAGCCTTCCTCAGCCCCAGCCTGCTCCTCTCTCCAGGCAGGCAGCCCAGATAAGGAGTGTGATGACAATCTGCATAATTAAAAGTGACCCCCACCCCACGGAGCAATCAGCTTATTTGTCACACCACACCTCAATATAGCCATGCTGCCTGCTAAGAGCTGCCATAATCCCTCCCCAGCACTTCCCTGCTCCCTGGAACTGCAGGAGCACTGCAGGGGGATGCACAGCCCCCTCAGCCCTGCAGCACACACAGCCCCAAAGGCTCATTTGCACATGACTTTAAGGCTCTGAATTCTTCCTTTCCAAAAGCAGCAAACACCAGTGGCTCCAGAAGCTCTCAGTGCCAGTTTTTAAGGTGCAGCTTGCCCTGCTCCCCACACAGCCCCAATGAGGATAAATTTGGGAAGCTCAGCTGGCTGCTCTGGAACTTCCAGGTTGGCAACAGCTCGTTTCATTCTCTAAAATAAAGGTAGGATTGAGGAGGTGCTGAATATCAGCATTAAATTGCACTGATATTTAACATGAAGGCACACAGGGAGCATGGAGAATGTTTGCCCTCAGTACCACTGGAGAACTGTGTGCTTTCCACCTTTGTACACCCACAGGACCTTGCACTGGGAGGAACTGGGGAAAAGTTTCCTGCAGCATTCCCAGCATCCCAGAGGGAGCTCAGAGCACACGAGGGGTGCTTGCTCCCAGGAAAGCAATCCCTGGTTCCAAGGCTGGCTCACAGCAAGGAGGGGCCACCCCTCAGCAACCACAACTCCAAAGGCTCGTCCCTCCCCTCGCAGAGGGGGGGTGAGCACCAGGACTGCCTCCCTCCCTCCCTGGGAACAGCCCTGCGTGCCCTCAGCTGCTGCAGGGCAATCTCCAGGTGTGGTTCTGCACTTCCCCAGAGCACACCTGCAGCTTTGTCAAGCCCTGCTCTGCTGAGATGCTCTCAGAGGGTCCCTTCCTCGCTGCCTGGGGTTGGTTACAGGCACCAAGACATCGGGCAGGACTGGCACTGCCACTGCCACCCCCACTTTTCTCTCTGCTTCACAGAAATCCCCTGCAGACTTTGCTCTAGGTTTTCTCCTAGAGGATGAAAGCCGTGGTGGGCTAAGGACAAGCCAGAGAAGTGCTCCAAATGCAAATGCCCGAGGGCAGGGCTGAGCCTGACTCACCCCTTGTCGAAGAAGGACGTGTGTCCTGGGTGTGGGTACTTTGTGCCATTGCTGCTCATCACGGCGCTGTTGATGTTCCCTGAAATGTAGGATTTCCGTGATGCCTGGTCCTTTGCAAAATTCCTGCAAGCAGCTAATTTGGATTCTAAGGCCTGTGAAAGAGGAGGAAAAAAATAGTATTAAAAAAGTAATAATTAAGAGGAAGTATTTTGCTGCTCACGAGCCCAAGATTGCCATGAGCAGGACTCCACTGTGATCACCCTTGGCAAAAAAATGAGAACAAAGCTGTCATTTCCTCTGTCACCCCACCACAAAGGAAACACACAGATGCTGATGCAGACTGCCAGACATTACTCAGCTCCACGAGGGCTCAGATTCTAGAACAGATGAACTCTGAAATAATTACCCAAGATAAGGAAGCCACATCGTAGCAGAAGTTACCCAAACTTCTTGCTTCAGCAGCTGCCTTGAGCTGATCAGAAGACTGAGAGCCTAAAGCAGAATCCTCAAGCTTTTGAGAGGAACTGTGCTTTTGGAAAGTTGTTTTTTTCACCAGGACAATGCCTCCTGGAATTTCTTTCTTAATCTTGGCTTGCAAAATAAAGTCAATTTCTAAAGTTTCACTGCTACCATTCCAAACAGGCCTGGTGAGGTGTTTTTCCCCCATGTAAAGTGACAGTGACTCCAGGAGGAGAAGCAACATCCTGATCCTCTTCTTTACTCCAGAACATCACCTGCCCTTTCTGCCACCACCAGAGGCTGAATATCCACCTTATCCTGACTATCCACGTGCTGTAGCAGAAGGCCTTTACTTATTACACCCATGGGGGTGTTCAGAACATTGCAAATGCCTGCACTGGAAACTGAAATTCCTCTCCCCAAACGTGGGGTTTGGTCCTGTTCTGTACAGAATACTCCATTAAGAGGACACTGACATGCTGCCACAGGTAAGTGAGCCCTGTGCAGACTCCTAGGAATCCGTGGAAGTTTGTTTAGGGATTCTGGCCTATACAGGCAGCTGTAGGTAACTCTGGGTGTCACAGATTGTCCCCTGGCCACAGACTGTGTGATCTGAGCCCAGGACTCTCCGTCTCAGCTGCAGGCAGGAAAGCAGAGGGGAAACTTCCTGCAGAGACAGCGAGTGCAAAGCTTGGGATGAGGCACGGCCAAAGCCCAAAGAACCTGAGCACCCTCTGATTGTTCCTGGAGCATGAGCTGGACTGTCCCAGTGGCCGAGCTGGGGCTCAGGGCAGGCTGGGAGAGCAGCCTGCTTATTTGGCATTTCCTGTCCTTGCAGAGTAATCACACGGGATTGTCACTAAGCTCCCTAAATCCCCTGCAGACTCTTACTCACAACGATCCCCTTTAAAACGTGTCACTGCTAACCCCGAGCTCTCCTGCTGTCCTTTCAAACCAAGGCTGGGCTCGCTGCCTCCAAATGGGAGCAGCCAGGCAATTTTTCACGTCCAACTTTGCTAAAACAACTGTCTGTACTGCAGCTCCTGCCAGGCTCAGCGTGGTTATACAGGCACAGGGCACAGCCAGCCACAGCTTCCCTGTGCTTCACTCACACACAAACCACCACAGCTCATCCTGAAGCTCCTGGCAGCTCAGAAGTCATTTCTTCTTCCAAGAGGAAAGCCTGGGTCCTGAACAACGCTGCAGCAGATGTTTAAAGCACTTCTTCCCTGCTTACAGTGTAATCCCTTTAAAGGCTCATGCATTTCACTTCCCCACCAGCCACAGATGGGAGCATTTGGCTTTCTCCTCATTTGTTTTCTCACTTTCTTACTGAAAGTTTCTAGGCTGGTTTTTCTTTCAGTCTCTGTGGCAGATCTCCATGGGAGATCTCTCCCACCAGAAGACCCTGGCAGGGTGATCCCAGCTCCTCCCTCACCCTGAGCTCCAGCTCTGCAGCCCAGAGGAAGCTGCAGCCCAGTTAAGGTGACAGTGTCTAACCCAGCACTTGAAAAATTTTTATTCCAAACAGGAATTTTGTCACTCCAAATTGGACCAGAACCATAGGATCAGGCTTTAAAAATCAAAATAATTAGGGAAAAAAATCAAATATTAAGAAGTGAATGTGGATGATTTGGCAGCTCCACAACGTACCCAGCAAGGCCAAGGCTGTGCTGTGATTGAGCACAAGGCCAGAGGCCCCAGGAGAGCCCAGAGCTCAGGGCACTCACCCCCACTTTCCGTAGCAGATCTCCCACAATGTTGAGTGCAGATATTCGAGCTGAAGGAGTCAGTGGGCTGGTACCAAACCCGTTTGGTATAGCTGCAAACACAGATATATCTTAGTACTTCACTCCTCCACAGTTCAGGTTTTTCAAAAATTTCAATAAATCAGCTCCTACATTAAAAAAACCCAAACATATCTATAATCTTGCTGCAGACATTTCATACAATTACCCACAGTAACTGCAGGATCACTAGGAAGGGAAAATGATCAAGTTTAATTCCTGCCCACTGCCCTGGTTGCCATCAGCCCCCCCAGGCAGAGTTCATGCACTCTCCATCTGCAAGGCTACTGACTGCAATCCATCTAATCCAGCCAGAGCTGCCTCTGGAATCCACTCTTCCTCATCTGAAAAATCAAGAATTAATCCCTGTGACTGTCCAGAGCCTTCCAGACTGGAAAAGGGGCTGGACTAACATCCCACTGCCTCACAGAGGAAACAGGATCCCTGAGAAATCAGTGTGGTAACAGATACTCCAAATTCCAAATACCCACCACTGCTGCTGCACATTTGAGCATAATTATCAGTCCCTGCACTTCCCTGCATTCCCAAATATCTTCAAGGCTCTACAGTGCAGAGTGCAAACCCTGCCTGCCACCCCAGGCATTGTCTCAGCTTCACTGTCCTTTTCAATGCTATTCACTCCTGAAATGCTCCTGATGCTGCCCTGAGATTCAAACACAGCTCATGGAAGTGTGTGAGATCCACACCCCCACATCCACCTCGGGCTCCTAAAGGAGCATATCCAGACCCCATTCCTCTGGATGATACCTTTTGGGGAAGGAAAACTATTTTCTGATCCTTTTCCAACAGGTGTAGCTGGCAAGGAGAGAGAGGCCTGGACAGCTGAGTCCATCTTCTCACAGTCCAGAGTAGGGGAGCTGGGTGCTGATTTCCGGGTCACCTCCTGCTGCCTTTCCCTCACAGCCAGCTCCTGCCGTAGGTCTGAGGGTTGAGAGAAGGGAAAAGCCCCACAAAATCCCCTCTTAGTGATTGATTCTCTCACAAACACTCTGTTCATTTGGGAGGGGCAGCAGCAGACACTTCCCAACAATCCTGGGTTAGTGCCTGCTGCTGCTTCCTCCCGAGTGGAGACATCCCTCAGAGCAGCCCCATCCCATCCCTGGATCCCATCCCTGGATCCCATCCCTGGATCCCATCCCTGGATCCCATGGATCCCATCCCACCCCATCCAGGACAGGAGGGAGCAAACAGCCCTGCCAGTCCCTGGGATGGGGGCAGCTGATTTGCCTCAGGATTTTTCCCCATTTGCAGTGTGAGCTCCATGTTCCCAAAACTGCAGCTGGACACAAAGAGCTGCTGCTGCTGAGCCCAGCTCCTGCTCCAACACAGCTTGGAAAAACAGAGCAATGAGCTGTTGCTGTCTTTCCCATTCCCTACATTCTCCTCCCAGTTAATAATCCACACAAGCCAAAAGCAGTCCAAGACTTGCATCCAGTTTTTTGACGCCCTGACAAGTAAAAGAGTAGATTGGAGGGCAGTCCAAAGGACAGGGAGCATTGGAAAAGCCTGGTTTTATTCTCACCTCCTCCCCAGACTGCAAATTATCCCTACCCTGTCCCTTCCCTTTCCACAGCTTTTTGCTACAAAGAACATCCAGCCCAGCAATGGATCTCTCAAATCCTCTGAAAGATGCAAACATTACAAGTGAGTTGTTCCTTTTTGGGCAGAGCAACTTCATTTTCACAGACCTCCTATTCCTTGCCTCAACCTGGTACAAAAGCAAAATTAACTGCACATCACAGCTTTTAAGTTGTAACAAATATTTGGAACCGATTTTAGGCAAAACAGCAGAGCTGAAGTGAAAATCTGTCTGGGCTCCCAGAAGAGGATCTGAGGCTGTTCAATCAGAAATGTCATATTTAGGTTTGACAGTACCAGCTCTTTTAGAGGCTACTGTTCCTGCTTGCTGCCAGGGGGAATAACTCACAAATGCTAAAAATGTCTAAATGACTCATCTAAGAAACAAGATGTCTGTTTTGCTGATTGTTCCAATGTTCTAGAAAACAGTCCTCTGGGTTTTGCTGGTTTTTCCAATTTTATTGCCCTAATCTCAAATTACAATACATATACTTCCTCAGAAAATGTCTTTCTTCATAATTATTACAAAATCCCTGTGCTTTCAATAAAGCTCCCAATTTCTGGGGCACAAACTTGCTTCAAAAAGGTTCCCAAAGGAGAACAACAACAACAAAATCCCAGCCTACTGTCAGGTGTGTTCTTACACTCAGGTCCAGGCCTTAAATGAGGAAATATTTTAGAAAGCTTCATTTAAGGAACAAAGTTGTAAATCACCAACCTTTAAAGTACATTATTGGCTGGCACAGGCATATGAGCAGATCACCTCCACTCTTAGAGAAATCAGTTTATACCCTCATTAAAAATGCTTCCCCAGCATCCTCAATGTGAAATCCACTGGGGAATTCCCAACTCCCAGAACACCATCCCAAACATCTCCCAGAGGTCTAGACACAGCCTTTACCAGAATATCTTAAATAATATATTTAAGGCAACTTCCAAGGGGCTTGGAAGGAACACAGGAGAGATTTTTTTAAGACTTCCTTGATCATTTATCCTGTATTTCCCTGTCATTTCCGGTGCCTTCCCTTCCTATAAACCCACAGCAAGAGGAACTTTTGAAGCAACTTCCTCAATTCTCTTTTGTCTGTGGAACACAGTATTTTTGTGTTAAAAATCCTGAATTAATCTATTGTCAATTCTGCCCTAAATGAGGAAATTTTTCTTTTTGGCTACACTGGACATACAAAGAACACACTGTTAGTAAAACCTAAAGCATCCAGTTCAAGTCTCATTATGTGAGGCCTTCTAGAAACATGAGCTTTGCTTGCTGCACATCTCTTTTAGCAAACCAACCCTGCACCAGGAGCCAGAACCAACCAGACCAGCCATACCTCTTGCTTCATCCTTTAATCTCTGTACAGAGACCAGCAATGACTCCTTGTCATCCAGTTCACTTTCTAAAAATGCATTTCTCTCAATAGCTTGGTTCAGTCTTTGTTCAAAGTCTTCCAATGAAACTATTGTTGCCCTAGAAACAAAATCCAGAATATTAGGTTCTTCAGCTCAGCCAGCATAAAAGCTTATTCAAAAGCATAACAGAAGGAAAATGTTAGCAGGGCTATGTTCAAGGTAAGCATCTGAAAGCCATGGAAATGCTCCTTAGAAAGGAACAATCAACTCCAAAGAAACAGGAGAAAAAGATGAGAAGAACATGATAGCATCTGGCTCTCAGAGATGCACCAAAGATGTGGGAAAGAGCCAGCCCAGAGCAGCCAGCTCCATTTTCCCCAAGGCATGTTCCAGAGCTGTGCATTAATCAGTGCCCCAGCTCAGGCACAGCCCAGCCAAGGTGGGCAGCAGAGCACTGGGACATTACCTAAACCCAATTCCTCCCCAAATCAGTGTCAAAAGTTAGTCATGAGCCTAAGAGCCCTGTGGAAACAGGGCCTCAGCTGTCAGATCTTTTTTCCAGATAGCCAGAGGCTCATTCCTGCTCTCCCAATGGCAGAATTCCCACCTAGCAGAAGGGAAGCCTGACCTCCTCCCAAACTGGGCGTTCCCAGCAGCAGCCTGCTCATTCCAGCCACTTGGAAAGGGCAGGACTGCTCCCTCCAGCTGTTCTGCAAGGGACCAGGAGACTCCTTTGGCCTGTCTGATTTAACAGGGACTATGGAAAGCAGGAGCTGCTGACTTCAAAGGGGCTCTGAGGCAGCAGGACACAAACATCAGTCACTTAGCTGGGGGTACCAAGGGCAGCAGTGGCCTGGCTGGCTCTGGGCTTGTTCCTCACAGGAGCACAAACTTCACTGTCCCACTGCAACAGGAACCAGCTGATGATGAGGGGTGACTGCACTGGCCAAAGAATCCAAAGTCTTGGCGGTGTTTGGGGTTTTTCTGATTGTTATTTTCCCTTTAAGGATCAATGAAATGCTCGAGCTGAATAGCAAAGAAAAGATCTTTGTGGTGCAAACTTGAAGGGAAGAGGAGGTTTGCAGCCTTCACCTCTTTGCACGTTCCAGGTCATCGTTGGCCTGCTCCAGCTCCCTCACATATTTGTGCAGCTGATCTTTGATGGCCCTTGTCTGGCTCAGGTCATCCTCCAACAACGACACCTGCTTGTAACTCTGGGCGTACTGGTGCTCCAGTTTCTCCTGAAACAAAGAAAACGGAGATACACATCAGCTGCTTGGCACTGCCCAAGTCATCAGCACGAAAAGGGGACAAAAAGTATCATTCCCTTTGCAGAATGCTGATTTGGGACTGCTGGTAATTCAGAGCAGAAACTGGAGAGGGAGAAGGAACAGGCTGTGAATGTCAGAGCTGGCCATGGTACAAAATCCCAGCCACCTCCCCATGGCACAGCTGCCTCTCAGGGATGCATCCCTGCATCTGCTCCCCACAGCCTGCACTGACAGCTGCTCCAGGAAGGCAGAGACAAATCCAACTGCACAGCCTCCCCTTCTGTGCTTCTGCCTTGCCAGCACCCACCCTGACACCAGAAATTCTCTGGTGTGTCCCTCAGCAAAAATGAGACACTGAAATCTGTCACAAAACCTCCAGACCCACAAAGTCATCCTCAAAAGACAAAAGAATTCACTGCCAACACCTTCTGAGGGCACTGGTAGGGGCCTATGGAGAAACTACTGACCTCATAAAACACATCCTGACCCTGCAAGTATAGCTGGGACTGAAGACACAAAGTAATCCCATAAACCTTCCTTCCACGGAGTAAATTTCTAACCTCTGTCTTCACCAAATAAACCAAGACTGCCCAAAATGATGCTTTTTCAAGAGAGGTAAAAACCTTCCATTCAGAGCTACCTTCTGCACATGCAGATCCTTAAGCAATTCCTGGCTCCACAGATATGGCTGTGAAGGGACGTGGAGACTCCCTGAGAGATGTGCACAAATCAACCATTTTCTGGTTTCTTGGAGTCTCATAAAACCCTGAGGGCAAAAAGACTGGTTTGCAAAGAAAGGTGACAAGGCAGTGGCCTGACAAAAGCCCTTGTGTTGTGCCCTGTTGCTATGCTGATGTGGAACAAATAAAGCTCCTCCTTGGCACAGCCTCGGGAATTCAAACTCCAGGACGAAGTTTCATGACGTGAACAAGAAAGATTCTGCCAGAAATGTCCCTGGCCTTATTTGGGGTACATGCCATGCTTCAGTGTGGATCTTAACCAGACAACTCCTTTTTTATTTGGATATTCAGTGCCCAAGGGCAGCCCAAACGATCCAAAAAGAGATCCAAGATGTAGCTGAAAGGAAAAGCAACACTACCACAGAGAACACCTACCTTTAATGTTTCCACTTCATATTTCAGTCTTTGGTTATCTGCTTGCAAATCTCTGTTCCTCTGCTCAGCTTGCACTAGCTGTGCCTCCAACTCAGCTTCTAATTCCCTGCTTCCCTCCTGGAATTCAGCCAGCTCTTCACGGGCCTCCTGGAAGCTGCAAGGACAGGATTGCATCAGTGGAAAAGCCAGCACCTCCCAAGTTAAAACAAAACCTGCAGCTCTTCTAAAATAAAATGCTGAAAAATGGGAGTTTTAAAGCACTTAAGTGTCATCCACAGACCTCTAAGGGGAAAAATAAAAATGGGAGAAGAGAAATTACATTAAGCTAAGCTATTGGAGGAAATGAATTCTCTTACATCAAACCCAAGAGCTACCTGGAATGCCTGTGTGGAACCAGAGCTATTTACAGGATTCATGGGAGCCTGAGCAGCACTTCGTGCTCCATTAGCTTTCACTGCTGGCAGACTTTATGGAACAGACAATGAATTAAGCAAACATTTAACCAGATTTTGGTCAGAAACTGAAGAAAGAACAACAGTTTCTGCATCTCTGCACTAGCTGGAAAATTAAAGTTTGTAAAAATCATGCAGAGTCAGGAAGGCAGGACATGCCTACCTCATACCACTGAGAATTATTAAATACTAGAAGTAGCCACTCCACATACTTTGCTTATTTAATTTGCATCTTTACCACACGTAATAGCTCAGCCCTGAGCAAGCAGCAGAGAAAACCATCGAGGCTTAAGGCAACACCACATCCAGTGGTGTCTCAGATGGAATTTCTGACACACAGGAGCAGCTTAGGGTTCTCCACATGGACAGGCCCCTCCACATTCCCAACACGTCCCTCCCACAAAACCCCAAACCAAACAAAAAAAGCCACTTGGACCTTGGGCTCTTGGTGCTTGAGAGGGATTTAACTCCACTAAAACCTCACTCACCCCCCAGTCCCTCCAGATGCACAGCATTCCTCCAGAGAGCAGCTTCTCTTGGCACTTTTGGTAACAAAAAGCCCTGTGTCCCCTAAGAGATGCAAACCACTGGTACAGCAGGACCAGAAGCTATGAAACACTTGAATAAAATGCAGCAGACACCAAATCAGCCACTTTTCATACCAGTAATTCCACTACAAGAAGCTTGAGGGAACAGGAATGATATAAGGCAAGCCCAAAGGCTCCTTCTTATGATAAAACATCAAGATTACCACTTAAAGCAGCACTTTAATTATATAAAGGTGCACATGATCATAAAAAGGCTCTGCTCTTGCTCAAACATGCTCAAAACATAGCCTGCAGTTCTTGGCATGGTGACACTGGGCAAGAAACACTCAGCTCTCACAGAGATGGTAATTTTAAAGCTGGAAATCCTTTCCAGAGAATTCTCTTCTCACAGGTTTTCTCTAAAGTATCTAATAATCATCTTGGTGTGGTCTTGCAGAGGAATAGATTAGAGAACCAAATTCAGCTTGCAAATCCACAATACCTTTGTTTGTACTTCAAGGAAAGCTCTTTCCAATAGGCAGTTTCCTCCTTTGGACTCGAGAAAGTAGGGATTTCTTCACTGTCCATGATCAACACAACCTGCAGAACATGAACACAGGAGTACACTCAGGATAAACCCAGGCAGGATAAACCCACCCCCAAAACCTCTGCTCAATCCTGGGCTTCCCAGCCACAGCACCAGGACTTGGCACCCACACCCAGGATGTCAAGATTCCCTCCCAGGGCTCACACAGACCTGCCCCAACGAGCCCCAGGATTTTACCCAGCCTTGCAAGTGCTTGTGGAGCAGCCTGAAATGAGAGCAGAAGTTCTGGTTGTATTTTGTACCTGCCACCAAAGCTCCAGTTGGTGCCACAAGCCCACTCAGGCCCACAGCTGGTAATCCACAGTTGGGAATTTTAAATTTTAACTCAAATTTACAGCTATCAGTTTCCACTTTACTTCACTAAATGTCTTTAAGAGATTTTGCCTCCTTCCACCACACAGTGACTGCACTACAGCTGCTTTAGAGCTGCAAAGGTGAGCAGTGAAGGAGGATGAACACTCCAAGTGAGGTAACTACAAACAGCTCTGTGTGGAGATCAAAACTCAACTTAATTCTTCCTGCAGCAAGTCCTGGTTAATTCCTGCTTGTGTCACATGCAGGTAACAGGAATTAGCCAGGTAGTTCTGCTGCCTCAAACAGCCACAAGGAAGATCAGCCTCTCCCAGAAATGACATGGTCACGTCACAGAGGAGTGTTCCCAGCCTGGAGGTGTTCAGACAAGTTTCCCACACCAAGGTACTGGTGATCCCCTCTCCACGAGGATCCTCCTTTCTGGACCTCCCCAGGCTATCAGCCAGCACAAGAAACACAACCCAAGATTCTTTTTGTATGGTTTTATATTGTCTAGGGGACACGAGACATTAGAGGCCTCAGCACACACCAGGTCTCAGAGGTGATGAAGGAGATAAAATGCAGGGCAGGACCAGGAGAATGCTCAGACCCCAGCACCATTAATGAGCCCTCCCCAAGCAATCCCACAGCTCTTTAAGGCTTTTTTTTTTCCCTCAAAAAGACAATCCTCAATTCTGTCTTTCCCACCTAGAAAAAGAATGAAGTGACCCCAACCTCCCCTGTGCTCCAAGCAGAGGCTGTGAACAATGCCTGCACCACGCCCATTGATCAGAAGAGCTGACCTAAAAGTCCTGACTTTCACACTCTGACAGGCATCACTTCTCAGCCAGCTCTGTCCCTTCAGGCTAAAATTGTCACACTAATGTGTTCTGTATCTCAGTGACCCATTTTTGACACCTAAAAGTGGGCCAGAACAATCCCATGCTTTCGTCAGAGGGCAGCCAGGCCAAACACAGCGAGGCAGAATTGGCATATTGGTTCTCCAGCTGAGCCTGCAGCTGCCACAAGCCAAGAGCAAATTTATCCACAGGGTGCCAAGCACCTCAAAAACACCTCAAATCTCACACTGTTTATTTAACTCCACAGCTTTACTGCAGAAGCAAACATGTCATGGCTCAGGTCTTCAGGAGAATGGATGGTGTTTCCTTTCCTGCACAGAGAAAATGAAAAGGACCTGTGGAGCCATTGCCATCACAAATTTCACACAGGATTTTCTTTGGGAGCACTTGCATCAGGCGTTACCACGGCAGCTCAGTCACTCCACAGGGACAAACCCCAAGCCTGGGGATGTGGAGCCCAGTATTCCTGCCCCAACTGCTGCAGCTCCATGGAGGGAGCACAGAGGGGAGCAGACACCTGACAAAGCTCAGGTGTGTCCAGCAGCTCCTGGACAGTGATTGCCACTGCCAGGACAAGGCACTGCTGGCTGCTGTCCGTGGCATCTGTCAAGCACTGATCCAACCCTTCCATAAATCCCTCCAACCTTTCCCTGAATGGCTCTAAGGCAGCACACCAGAGAGGCCCAGACCAGCAGGGAGCACATTCATCCCAGAATAAATCAGATAAAGCACAACACAGGCTCAGCTCCCACAGCTCCAGAGGAGCTGAGCTCCAAAGGTGAGCAGCCAAGCAGGCTGTCACTAAAACCCAGGACGTGGCTAGAAAAAAGGAAGCATCTTACATCATTTCCTAGAAGTAGCTGAGATAAGGCACAAGACTCCTTCCTGTCTGCTCACACGGGGCACACCCTTGGAAATCAACATCCAAGGGATCCCTGCAAGCACAGCAGCCTGTGCAAGAACAGGAAGGGCTGCCTGGGGCTCCCAAGGACAGGAGGTGTGTTTGCCCCCCACTCCTTGTCCAAACACCTTTTCCTTTCAGACACTGCAGGGAGCAGATTCAGCCCAGTGCTGGCTCAGGCCCTGGGCAGGAATTCTTCCTTCCCAACCCACCCAGATCTTCTCCAACTCCCTCATCCTGCCTTGGTGAAGTGGGTGGTAGGTCATGATTGCCCCTGTTCCATGTCCCCCACCATCCCTGATGCTATCAGCAGGGATTGGGATCTGCTGACTGCTCTGCATAAAGCCCTGCTGCAGATGCCAATGCCAGCGTGCACTGCTGAGCTCCAGCATCCATATCCTGCTTTTTGTCCCTTGGATTCCCATGAGGGGCAGCAGCAGGGTTAAGAGCACACAGACACCCTGCAAGCACAGTGCTTCACAGCCAAAGCATCAACCTGGGAGATGCTGACAGCTTGGAAACCTCCTCCAGCACACACGTGGCCACGTGGAAATCCTTCACTCTGCCAACCTTTGCCCATTCCCTGGGAATGCTGGCACAAAAACAGGGATCGTGCAAGCAGGGAGCAAATTCCAGGAGTTATCAGAACACAACCAGACAATTCCACACATCTCACGTGTGGGAGAGTGGATGCCCACGGAATACCAAGAGTTGAACAAAAACTGCTTTGCCTCAGCCTGCTGCCTGTTGTCCTGGCCTCGGGAATTCTGTCAGGAGCTGAGAACCAGCATGGCCAGTCCTTCCTATTCAGGGCTTCTTTGCATACGTGGCACTTGCAGAATCCAGCCTTTGACAAACAACACTGAGGCTTTCAGGGAGCAGACAAGACAATGCAGCAGCGTCTTCCAGGGAAAATGAGAGCAGGCTTATGCTGCTGCCCACTCAAATTCATTCCAACACAGCTGAGCATTCACACAGTGCCCTGGGAAAACACAGCTCCGTGGGCACAGCTCCAGCTCCAAAGCTGCTCCCAGACAAGAACTACGTTCAAAACACCGGGGCTCCTTTCAAGCCCCCCCGATAAAATCAGCAGGATGCAGCAACCCTCCACTGTGAAAAGGAAAGAACTTTTCCACGCTGCAATGACTCTAAAAAAACACAGTGTGGAGGTTAAGAACTTGTCTAAATCCAGAGGAGTTTGTATAGAACAAATCTGCTTTCCCACCTGGAAAGCATGCTTAAAACGAGAGGAGCAGCATCCTCCAGATATCATGAGAACCAAAGGCACAAGAATACACCAAAGTGAAGTAACCACTCTAACATGCAGACAGTATTTTTCAAGTAATTTAAAGAATCTTGCATTCAAGGCCAATCCCAAATCTCTCTGGAGCCACCTTCCAGCTAAGCCATGAAAACACAAACACAGCTTGAAGTGTAACACAGTACCTTAAAAAAGCTTCCCAGGCTCTCCATGTGACGGGAGACTGCAGCGAAGCTTGGGATGGAATCTAAGACCAAAACACCAGCCTGAAATCCAATACAACGTCTCAGTTGGGACCCACCCCTTCCCACAGTGGGGAATCCACGCCTCCCTGCTCTCAAAGTCACTCATACCCTCGGCAGGGATGACTTTGAGCACTACAATTCACCCTGGATGTACCTGCAGTCTCTCAAGTGGCTGCAGAAAGCATTCCTCCTGATTTTAATTGCCTCACACTCTCCCATTTAAAATCAGCTCATAAATACTGCCATATAAAGAGAATTAATATTATTTGGTCTTCATGAACAGGTCATTTTTCTGCACATTTTTCTGCTTTCTTCCTTACAACCCCATTTGCCCAATATTTTCAGACACCAGACACAAAAAATTAAGCAGAAGCAAAGCAAGGCCACTCAAACAGGACCAACCACAGGGCTGAACTCCCCCAGCTCCACTTGGCTGATCCCCCCTCCCTTCAAGGCACCACAAATGTCCACTTTGGAATTTAGAATTTCCAAATGACCTCTGGAATTAAACAAGCAAGCAGCTCAAATAGGACTAGATCAAGAAGTTCTGCCAAGCTCACATGTGGCTTTCAGCTCTCGAGATAACGATGCACTCTGGCTATCACAAAATGCCCAAAGTCCTGCTGGCTGCCAGTCCCCCCTTCTCAGAGGCACTGACGCCATCACCCAGTGCTGGCACCACCCAGAGCTGCCACGCACAGCAGGACTGTCTACAACCAGCTCTTCTTCCTCTTCCCCCTTTTTGCTGATCCAAGGGCAGAAAAGCAGAAGAAATCTTGTTTCCATCATTCTTCACCTTCTCAAATCATGAGGACCAACAGGTAACCTCCAGCTCCTGAAGATCTTGATTTTTTTCCACACAAACCCATTCAAGACTCAAAGCAAGGAGACTGAGCATTTCAGCCACAATTCAGAGAAACGTGCATTGTCATTAGAAGATGGAAAACAAACAAGCAGAAGCCACGGATTAGATTTCACCAATCAATCTGGGCTCGTTTTGCTCGTGCTGGAGCCGGCGGATTTCCACATGCAAACATTTGGATGTGTGCCTGCATCCATGGCTGGGATGAAACTGAACCTCTGGGAAGTGAACCTTCTCCTGCAGTTCTATTTTTGAACTGAATGTTCTCGAGTGAACCACAACAAATGCCTCCTTCTCTCTTACAACAGCAGCATGGGAGCTTTCAGGAAGAGAAGAAAGTCACCAAGCACAGCGTCAGCACAACGCTCCTTGCTCTGCTGCGATAATAAATCCTGCATTTCCAATTTGGGCAGCATGGCAGGCAGGAGATAACCAATTCCTACCTGCAGGAACTTGGTGCCAAATTCACAAAAGCCTTTAAGATAAATCAAGCAGCACACAGCAAAGCCTTGTTATGTCAACAGCCTCATTAATCAAATATAACATGTCTGTTCTACACCACATGGCCAAGACTCATCTGTCTGGTGAATATTTGATATCCAGTCCCAGGAAAACCCTTGAAGAGTGAGCCATCACTGGGTTAGCAGCCTTGAAACCAGAAGAAATGCAAAAATGCAAATGCAAAAAGCCTCTTCTCAGAAATCAAGATACAAAAGTACCAGAATTTTGTATTAAAAAACATTATTGCTTTCACAAACATGGGAAGTTTCAGGCATTTGACCTCTGTTCCTTCCCAAGTAACCTCCCTGAAGTGACAAAAAAGGAGAGGTTGGTGCTCCTGCTGCAGGTTCAGCACCTGCAGAGGTGAAGGAAAGGCTCCTGGAGATGTGCCTGTCCCAGAACACCCTGGCCTGAGCACGGGGATAATTTGTTCCCAGCTCCATACCCAGGAACTCCAAAGGGATGAATCCACAGAGAGAAGTGTAAACAGCAAACTGAGAAGGAAATTCAGGTTATGGACAGGATATGCTTGTCCCTACCTCAGTCTCTGCTCCCTCCTGGGCGGGTTGGTGAGGTGTGACAGGCAGCACGACTCTGAGCTTCACCCCCAGCAGAATGGCAGCTGGCACAGGCTGCCATGGCCCTGGCCCCCTCTGGAGATCCCCCAGCCAGCTCCACCTTCTCCAGCTCTGCCTGCTTTCTCTTTAAACCCAGCAGCAATGATTCACCTGAGAGGCTGTGGCACACACAGCACAGAGCCTGCACCAGTGACAGCTCCTGGGCCTCCCTGCTGGCCCAGCAATCCAAAGCACCCCCATGACAACACCTGCTGGGAAGGCAGTGACCAGAGGGTGACATGCTTCTGGACACCACAGCATGACCAAGGAATTCCAAGGGAAAAGCACTCAGCACGGATTTCTGCCAAAATGTCTGAATTTCTACCAGTGCCGGGGTGGGTAAAATGGGTTTGAAAAATCCCCCCCCAAAATGGCATCACAGAGCAGCCCCAGCAGAGAGGGGCTCTGCAGTGAGCACTTAACAACAGGAATATTAAAAGCAACCCCCCAAACTCTGTGTTGATCAGGAGAAGGAACCAGCACAACCTTCCACTGAGCTGTGGGGACAGAAGAGCCCCCGAGGGACACAAGCACATCATGAAAAATCTGCTCTGATGGGTCTGGCTGGCTTTGCCTGCGGGTCAGGACAGCACAGCAGTGCAGGCAGCTGAACACACTCCCCAGCTTATCTTGATGATGTTTGTGGTGTCAGAAACATCAAGGGCTGCAAAAATACCATTTCCTTTCTGCAGTCTGACTTTTCTGGCACCTCAAAAAAACAACTGTAATAGACTGAGGGTATAAACTGTACTTTGTTGCTGTACTTCTTGGCAGCCTGCTGCCAGCAGCGTCTCCAGAGACAAGATTCCTTGTGACACCAAGGTCACAGACATCATCAGTCTCGTGCTTTCTCTCCACTTTCTTATTTTCCTTTCTCTTCTCTGTCCTCAACCAAATGAGGAATTATATTACGTATCTCAAACTCTAAAGAGTCAGGGAAAAAAAAAAAAAAAGAGGATTTTCCCCTGAAGAGGAAGAGAGGTGACTCAAACACTGACTCAAACACTGCCTCTGAACACTTCCTTCACTTCTGGGACTGCCAGTGACAAGTGAGATTACATCTCACCCAGGCTCTGCCTCCACACATACAACAATACAGAAATGCACAGCCCAGCCAGGAAACAGGACAGGGAGATGATCTCTTCCAGGGCAGCCCTAACACTATTAATCCCAGATCCACACTCTTTACCCACCTCTGCCACATCCTGTGCAGCCACAGTCAACTGGCACCATCAACCAGTCAAACACATCAAACTGCCATTTAAATAAATAAACAAACAGAGAAGCACAGAATCATTCACGTTAGAAAAGACCTCTGAGATCATCAAGTCAACCTCTGACAAATCAGCACCTTGGTCAACCAGACCAGAGCACTGAGTGCCACATCCAGGAGTTTCTTGAACACCTCCAGGGATGGGGACTTCACCACCTTCCAAAATATCTAAAAGCAACCTAGTCTCTTTTCTGCCTTGGGACAGCTTCTTCCTCTTACAGTTCCTGATATCTCTAACAAAACACTGACCTTTGGAAGGCCACCAGCTCTCCGCAGTGTCCAGGAATTGTTTCTTGGGGGATTGGAAAAAAATGTAAAGGAAGAAAAATATTTTTCTGAAGTATCCAAGGAATTCTTCTACAGCAGTTTCTTGCATTTAATCGCCTCTCAGGCAACAAATGCCACAGGCATCCAAAAGTGCCCTCCACCCCCTGCACTTGTGAGCAAGTCAGGAGAGTGGCAGAGGAAAGAGAGAAGCCCTGAGTCACTCCCAGCGCAGGCTGGGCTGTGGGTGGGAGAGCACAGCTCTCCTCCCCCCGGGAAGAGAGGGCTGTGTCGGTGGGAGTCCCTGGGCTGAGGGGAATGTCTCTGCTCTCCTGTCAGGGCATCCTTTCCAGCACGTCCGCTGCAATTCGGGTCACGCTCATCACCCGGGCACGCCTGCTCGGGGCTGGGCACGTTCATACAGAACCCAGCAGGGCTCTCTGGGCTCGGAGGGAGGGTAACAGCCTTGGAGAAAAACCCTCACTGAATTACGGACAAATCCCAGCAGAGACCACAGAATCACGGGGAAGGACCTCTGAGCCCATCGAGTCCAGCCTGTGACCAAACATCCCTTGTCACCCAGCAGGGCACGGAGCTCCACCGGCCCTGCCCTGAACACCCTCAGGGATGTGACCCCACCACCCCCTCCCTGCCCACTCCCGCACCCAATTCAGGGAGGAATTTCTTCCTAAAAAAGACGCTGTGCCCCGACCACAGGATCGAGCAGGGATTTTACAAGAACAGAGGAAACCACGCGTCCAGCTCGCTGCCAGTGACAGGATAAAGTCCCCGCTCGGGACCGAGGCCGACAGAGCGGCGAGCAGGCCCGGGGCAGTTCCGAGCCGCGGTGCAGCCGAGCCGAGCCGAGCAGAGCCGGGCCGGGCCGGGCCAGCCCCGCAGCCGGCGCGGTCCCGGCGGGGGGGGGCCGGCCAGGGCGGTGGCCGAGCGGGGCCGCGCCGTGACTGACACCGCCCGCAGCCAATGGGAAGCGGCGGCGCCGCGCCCGCAGCCAATAGCGCAGCCCGGAGGCGGGCCCTGCCCCGTTGTCAATTCCCAGCCAATCGCGGCGCGGAGCGAGGCCCGCAGCACCCTCGGCCCCCTCCCCGCCCGCCCCGCGCCCCCCGCCCGCCGCGCCGGGCCTGGCCCGCTGGGGCCACCGCGAGAATGCCCGGGCCGGCCCCGGCCCCGCCGCTCACCGGAGCGCATCCCCTGTCACAGCCGCCGCAGCGCGCGCCGCCGGGGCCGCCTCATCCGGGGACTGGGGGGCGGGGCCACCGCGTGATGCAAGAGCCGGCGGGGGCGCTGTCGTCACGCGGGGGCGGAGCTTGTTGGGGGGCGGGGCTTACTGGGGGCGGGGCCGGTGCTCGGTACCGGTCCCTGGTACCGGTCCCGCACAGCGGGGATACCCCTCCTCTCTCGCCCCATCCCACCGGGCGCTCCCGGGGTGAGGTGGTCCTGTCTCCTCCCTTTCGGGAACCGTCCCCTGCCCGTCCTCCGCCGCTCTGTCCCCGGTGACCCCTGCCCGGGCGCACCCAGGCATGGGCACCACAAGCCATCCCTGCGGGTGCCTGGACAATCGATCCCTCGGGGTGCTTGGACATCCATCCCTCGGGCCATGATCATCCATCCCTCCGGGCGAGCGCAGGACGGGGCAGGGGCAGCTCCGAGTCCTTTCTCCGCATCCTGCGCCCGCTGCCTCGCTCCCCGCACAGCTTCTCTGTCCATGGAGCAGGGAACTCTGTGAACAGAGGTTTTTGGAACTCCCACAGGGACCTCCGGTGGCCCTGAGCTGAGCTTAGGAGAGCTGACAGCCTCCTCGGCCGTCCCTGTCTATCGTGTCTTTGTCATTCCCTGTTTTGTGGTTACAGCGTGCCCCACTGACTGGGCTCCCCGCTGTCCCATCGCTGTCCCCGTGCCGGCCGTGTCCCCGCAGTCCCCGGGCTGCTCGGGTTCCTCTGCTCGGGCTCCTCTGCCCGGGTTCCTCTGCAGGGCTTTCCGGGCGGGCCGTGCCCTGCAGCCGCCCGCGGCTCCCTGGCACTGCCCCGATACTCGAGCTGCCTTTGCGTGTTTAATTTGCTGCCCTGTAATTAGCTGCCGGGCTGTCATTAGCGGCGGGCGGGGCAGTCGGGATGCCCTCGTGCTTCCCTTGCCGTGGGCCGCTGCTGCCGGCAGAGGACATGTCCCAAACCACATCTGGGACAGCCAGGACAGCCAGTGTCCTCCGTGGGCACGGTGCCACCATGGCCAACTCTGTCCCCGTAGCCATGTCCCATCTGTTTGGACATGGGTTATCCATGCTTTTCCTGCATTTCCTATGGATTATTGCAGACAGCCTGAGGATGAAGAGCACACACCTCTCCCCAGCCGGGTGTCCAGCCAGCCGTGGCTGTCCCCTGACACTGGCACGGGCCTTTCTGGGTCACCCTGTGTGACCTGGGTGTTGCACAAGGCCACAAATGCTGCTGAGCCACGTCAGAGCACCGTGCCAGGACGTGCAGCACAGCACGGCCCCGAGACACCTGAATTAGAGGCTGTGCCAGGAGGGGAAGCCGCAGCGTCCTGGGAGCAGTCATCCTTTGGTGACACACTGCCCTTGGAGCCGCCTCATCCCTCCTGGGAACAGAGCCTTGCTCCCAGTGCACCTTCCCCTGAGTTCTCTGTTCCCAGAGGATGATGTTGGTGCTGCCACAGCCTGGAACAATCCACCTACCTGTCCCCTTCTCCCTCCCACTGACCATCCCCTTGGCTTGCTGAACCCTCTCTGGAGGGTAGGGAGGGACATCGAGGTGCCTGTGCAGAACCTGGAGGGTATCTGGGAAAATATCTCCTTTCCCAGGAACCAGCCCTGAGCTGCTCCCAGTTGGGAAGAGCCAGAGCTGGTGGTGCTGAGCTCTGGGGCAGGCTGGGCACCCATCCCTGTGCTCTGTGGCAAGCTGGGCATCCAGCACTGCAGCCTGGAGCAGGCTGGGTGCCCAGCACTGCAGCCTGGAGCAGGCTGGGTG